TGATTCAGTGACTGGGGTAATCGGGATGGGTGTGTCAGAGGCAATTAGATTGGCACAGGATAGAGCACGGTTTAGGGCTGTTGTACATAGCGTCGCTATGAGTCACAAACAACTCGACGGCACACAACAACAACAACAACATGAACATTGGTGTACAAATCTCCATTTGTGCCTCAGTTCTAATTTTCTCTAATATTCCAAGCAGTGGAATAGTTGGGTCATATGACATTTTTATGTTCAGATTTTGTAGGAAATGCCAAACTTCTTTCCAGAGTGGTTGTGCCATTTTACAATCCCACCAACAGTGTGTATGAGTTCTTATCTTGCCACATCCTTTCAAACATTTATTACTTGTTGTCCTTTCAACTTTGTGACTGCTACTGGGGTGAGAAGAGAGCTCATTGTGGTTTTGACTTATACCTTTCTTATTGCCAGTGATTTTGAGCGTTTCTTCAAGTGTCTCTTGGCCATCTGAATATCTTCCACTGTGAAAAGTCATTCCATGTCTTTTGCATATTTTTAAATTTTGTTATCAGTTTGGTTTTTTTTTTTTGGAGATCCAGTAGAATTTTGTATGGAAGACAAAGGTTTGTCATCTGTTGTTGTGGTTATGTGGTTAAGGTAACTATGACTCCTAGTGATCCTAAGAACAACAGCCTTAAACCTTGTATTATCCCAAGCCAAACTCACCATCTCTAATATACCTTACCCTGTTGTCAGAATAACTGTGTTAGGATCTCTTATTCAAAATTGGCTTTTCCTGTAGCTGACCTTCCATCTTTCCATGCATGTTGTCTTTCACAAATTACTGGCCCTTTCTCCAGCATGCCCAAAGTATGTGAAAATGAGCTTCAGAGTCCTTGCCTCCAAGGAGCAACCTGGTTTTACCCTCACCATGACAGACCTGTTTGTTATATGGGGAGTCCATGGCATGTTCACTACTCTTCTCCAGCACCACATATCAAAGCCTTCAATTCTTCTTCTGTCATCCTTATTCATTATGCAGCTTTAGATGCATAGCAAGTAACTGAAAAGATCATGGCCTGAATCAGACATACCTTAGTCCCTAGACTGACATGGTTGCTCTTTAGTACTTTAGAGAGGTCCTTGATAGTGAATTTTCCCAATGCAACTCACCCTTTGATTGTCCGACTGCTGGTGCTAAGGATTATGGATCCAAGTAAAATGAAATCATTAACAACTTTCTCCATCTATCTTGATTCCTCCTATTGGTGAAAATATTTGATTTCTTCATGTTGAAATGCAGTCCATAATGAAGCCTGTAGTCTTTGATCTTTGAGAGCAAATGCTTCAAGTACTCCTCAGTTTTGGTGAGCAAGGTTGTGTCATCGACATAATTCAGGTTGTTGGGTCTTTTTCCAATTCTGATGTCGCATTCTTCTTCATCAAGTCCATCTTCTCAAATAATCCATGTATTAGGCTAGTTAGCAGATTACAAGAGTGAAAAAAGAAGTATCTACCTCAAGGAATTCACTATGTTCTGTTAGACCAGACCAAAAACAATTATATATGTATATTTTAC